ACAGTCTTAAATTAAGAGACGTAAAGCTTAACATGGGGTGAATGACCTCTCGGTGAAAGACCGGGGTGGATGACCGGTCGGTCAAGCCCAATTCAGCATGTTACGGTTAGGGAGGGATCCGAGAGAAGCGCTGTTCTGTATCTAGAAATATCATCTTTTGCTTGTGCCAGTTTGTTCCATAGTTACCAAAGACCAACAACAAGAACAATTGTGAAATTTTAGTCGCCGAAACAGCTATTGTTCGATTCCAATTCCATTGGTCAATTCCAATGGGCTACTGACCGTAAGGCCATCATTTATACTTTTGGCGACGTCTCAGGGAGTAGCGTAATGGTACAGTATTGTGTACAGTTTGCAAGAATTCTAGGAATGGTACAGGCATTTTGTCCACAGGAATGGAATGTCTCTGACCCACATCCATGCCAACATTCCTGGAAACCATTGGGAAGACCTCTCTGTCACGGATGGCCCTACTTTCTGTGACCCGGGGCTCGTTCACTTTACACTCATGATCAGGGGAGGAGTGCACCGTAATTGTGTAGACAGGTACCAAGTCTTCCTCAAAATCATGAAATGATGGCAGTGCCATCCAAACAATAACCCTAACAGCAACCATCGTCCACATGGCAATGTATGTTTTCATTCCTAGTCTTGTTGCTGATTTGGCTGATATGGCTTTGATTGTGAGTTTACTGTGAAGTATGAAAGCTTGTCAGCAGAATGCAAAACTGGTCCGGTTGGAGTTTAATTTCTTTTCAGGAAGTGTTTTAAAGAATAACTCAAGTTATCGGTGGCATATCAGGACTCGACCCCGGGACCTCTTGGTTCCGAGTCGAGCACTCTGCCGCTACGCCACACGACCCCACTACGGGACTAGTTCTTATCTGCACACAGCCTACAGCCCGACTCAGAACTGGCCTGGACGTGCGTCATGTTTGTTTCAAAATTATCAGACCCGGGAGGTTAGGACAACAACAGGCATCCGTGTGGACGGAAGGGGGGGGGGAGTGTGTGTTAGCTACCGCCGCAAAAATCAATGGATATGTCCTAATATACACCAATTTTGGGGTCGTGTGGCGCAGTAGGTAGCGCGTTCGGCTCACACCCAAAGGGTCGCGGGTTCGAACCCTGCCCATGTCACCGATCTTGTGCCATTGGGAAAGGCACTTAACACGACTGTCCTCACTTCACTCAGGTGGAAATGAGTACCTGGCTTCGGTTAGGGAGGTCGGATAGGACGTTAAATGGAGGTCCCGTGTTTGGGGACAGCCACACATCACGCACGTTAAAGAACCCACCACAATTATCGAAAAGAGTAGGGGTCCTTCCTGATGTGAGTGGTTCAAACCTTACAGTCCGATCTTACGCAGTTTGTACATGTACATGTACGTACATGTATGTACGTACAGAAATGGTGTGTTACGCCTAAAGGCGGTTTACTGGTTATGCGAAACAAACAAAGAATTTGAAGTAGAAGTAGTAGTAGTAGTAGACTGGTTTAATCATAATCATCATCATTCATTATCCAAAGAGGTGGAGCAGACAAAGTTTGATCTCCAGAACTGTTTGTCATTCATTTCTGAAATAAGTTCAAGGCCCTCCAAGCCTGTCTCGGTTTCTATAAGTTTCTTAAGTGTTGTGTTTGGCCCTCTCTTCGTGTCAAGGTTCCAAAGTAGAAGCCTACTGGCTGGTTCTTTGCTACCTCCAACCTGACCGGCAGGGCTTAGTCCTCGACACTAGATTAAAGGGTTGAAAATGCCCTCGCCAACTTTGACGTCGGATAGCGTCTGAACGGCTTGTGTTAGAACCACCAAACTTTAGAACCACCAAACTTAGCGACTTTCCTAAAATACCATCCATCCATCATATTTTAATATAATGTCCTTGGTTCTGGTTAATCATTACAACACTATATCGATGCGTTACGAAGATTTGCTACCAATCCTACAAGAGTTCTGCCGACCAATAATGCCCTCTTGTTCATATATGAACATAATGTAAATGTATACATTTTGCCTGAAGCCAATTTAGTCTATCAGCGCTGCAAGATGAAGACTGCCCTGCTGTTCCTGGCCTGTCTTGTGGCCATCAAGGCGAGTTCCTTTCGCTATTTCTTCAGCTGAAACTGTGCTGCTTTAATTTAGGTTTAGGTTTAGAAAAACTAAGGAAATCGCCGAGCTAGAGCAACAGAAAAATGCTAAACTGCCCCCCTTTGGAAGCATGCGGCCTTGAGTGAGTGAATGAGTGGATGAGTGAGTGAGTGAGTGAGTGAGTGAGTGAGTGAGTGAGTGAGTGAGTGAGTGTGTGAGTGCATGAGTGTGTGACTGAGCGAGTGTGTGAGTGAATGAGTGAGTGCGTGAGTATGTGAGTGAGTGTGTGAATGAGCGAGTGTGTGAGTGAATGATTGAGTGAGTGAGTGAGTGCGTGAGTACATGTGTGAGTGAGTGAGTGAATGAGTGTGTGTGTGTGTGTGTGTGTGAGTTAGTGAGTGAGTGAGTGAGAGTTAATGTCCGTTGTTCCCATGTTCCAGGCCCAGTTCTGGACGCCGCTGGCTCCATGTGACGGGAACCATCAGTGCCCGGGCGGAGAGGAGGGAGACAGTCACTGCTGCCGCACCGGCATTTTCGGCGTACCCGTCGTAAGTACTAACATCTACTTTTTTTTTAGAAATTTACTTCATGATTTACCACAAAACAAGGCTCATGGGAGCTACTCTATGTTTTGGGTCATAGTACAGTTAGTGAGGACAGATGTTTATTGACCTTAGACTTGAAAAGTTTATGGTTATACCGATATGGGAAACGATCACGTGGTAGCTTATTCCATAGTGATGTTGCTCTAAGAAAGAAGCTTTCAGCGTGGAACTTCCTCCTAAGAGATGGTGAATGGAGGAAGAAAGGGTGATTTGCTTCAGTGGAAGTGGCAAGACTTGTCCTTGCTGAGAATGTTCGAAGTGGGGGCACTAGCAAGTGAGGTTCCGCTGAGCATTTACCGTGGAAATAGCGATAGAATTTCTTTGAACTATGATGTATTTCTCCTGTTTTTACAGTGTGAGATCGCGCCGCACCCCGGTTGGCCGTGTGACCCGGCCGGAGTGGGCAGCTGTCCGTGCTGGAACGGTTACGAGTGCGTCTTCAAACCCAACTCCACTACGGAGGCGCTGTGTGTGCAGGCGAAAGAAGAGTGAGACCCAAGGATCCAGGACGTCCACAAACCCCATGCAGACCTTAGGATCCAGGACGTACACAAACCCCATGCAGACCCCCACTACCAGAAAATCGCCTAACTAGATAAACGAACGGTCTGAGAATAAACTGTCATGTATAGCGAAATTGGATTGAGTGTTTGTTGTGTTAATAGTTAAATTATGATTAGATGCAAAGGCTCTGCAAAAACAAAGCTATTCCAAGCTTTGTTCAAAGCTATTTCTTGTGCCCTTGGGAAAGGCACTTTACACGACTTTCCTCACTTCGCTCAGGTGAAAATGAGTATTGCCCTGTCATGTATTTGTGCCCTGTGTTGGTGGCGGCATTAATGTAAGTTGAAAAAACTTGAGTGTGCCGTCACCACGTCTTGTGATTACATGTTGGAATGAAAAAAAAGCTATTCCAATCGATAAATAAGATGCGAAGAATCCTTCTTTGCTACTGTGAGACATCTAATTCATAAAAAAAGGAAACGGATAATTAAAGAATTTAAAGTTCTCTCCCAATAAATGTTTGACAATTTCATATGATCTCAAAGTTCATGGCCTTGAATTGTTACTAATTTTGAAGAACGACTACTTTTCTTGAAATGGCCTGATCAGTAGCCTATCTAAGTCGATTATAGGTAAAGTGCCTTTCCCAAGGGCACAACAGCGGTGACATGTCAGGACTCGAACCCGGGACCTCTTGGTTCCGATCGAGCACTCTGTCCATACGCCACACGACCCCACCGAGCCTACCTTTGGTTCTGGCATAGCCTCGAAAAACGCAGTACGACAACTAAATAATGGATCATATGTATCTCGTAAAATTCATCGTATGTATTTAGTGAAATTCGTATGTTTCCTCGTAATGGATCGTATGAATTTGAAACGTGAAATTCGTATGAATTCCGAAAAATCAGTTTGGATTCTTTGGCACCCCTGTAGGTGCATATACGACAAAATCGCACGGCATACTAGACTGTAGCCTCCGTCGCAGGCTTATAGAACTGGGGATTTGGTGGTCTTCGGCTGTTTTCTGATTAGCCCAGTTTTAAAACGAGGGTAATTCAACCAGGCCGGCTATGTTGTCTATATGCAATCAGAAAATAGCACATAAACCCCCCAAAGACCCTGAAGACCCCCCGCCCCCCGGTTTTTGGCATGCTATGGAGGCTAACTAGACCGCACCTTCACCTTAGTATAGGGCAAGGCACCAACAGGGACCAACATGTATCGACCAGTAGTTCTTTGAAGATAACACCCTTGTCACCCCACTATTTACAGTACCTTGTAACAACACGTTTCTTCCTGGCCTCGACGCTTCCGAAGAGGAAGGGTGTTTGTTGGTTCACCTGTCGGCTCTCACATGGCGTTTGGATAGTCCTGAGGCCACAGCAAGTAAATTGTATGACTGACATCCACTGCAGACTCCACATCTAATGCGATAGTGTGAAAAAAACGGGCGGGCCAAAAAAAAGCAAGATTCCTACATTTTTATATTTTGCCATCATAAACCTTGTTAAACAATAAATGATACCTATATTGTGCTAAGTTTACTGACAACTATCACAACATCCATTTGTCACTGAAACAACATAAAATAAAATTTTCAATCATTGTACAAATGACATCTTTGCCTATTTTCGGCATGTCGACCACTGTCAGAGGGCAACGATTTTTTTTTTTCAAAATCAGGCGAAAAAAATACGCGCGCTGATGTCATCCATAAAAGTTACTTGCTGTGGTCTAACATCGGACGATATACGGGAAGGTCGCAACAGACGTAATACTTAGCGCAGACGCGATAAAAACAGCAGGTAACGTACGAGTGGAACCATTTCATTTTGTTTCTGTACGGAAAGTTTGACTGACGTGAGGCTAGATCGGCAGGATGAAGGTTGCTCTGTTTTTCCTGGCGTTTGTGGTCGTGGCGAAGGTAGGTTTTACTGTTCCATAAGGCTACAAAATCAACAGCATATTATATTCCAATTCATTTCTAAACAGCAAACCACTTCTCGTTTCGCTAAGTTGTATCTACGCGTAGATCTTTCATGTTACAAGGATTGCCAACCTATTGTTCAGAAGTCAATATTCTTTCTGATGATAGCCAAGGATTGAGGTGTTCAAAAACTCATCACTAGATAGCTTTGAACTAAGTTTAGAGATAATTACATGTTCAAAGGCTAAGTGTAACAAGTTGTCCAGTCTAACATAGTTGCCGCCGCGCCGCATGTCTGCGAAGCTGGTGTGTTACGCCGAAGGACGATCATACCGGCTATATAGACGCAGATACAGAAGTTTGCCGTGTGTGTTGCAGGGTCAGGTGTGGAACCCGCTGGCGATCTGCACGTCCGACGCCTCCTGTCCGGACCAGAACCGGTACTGCTGCCGCTCCAACACCGTCTTCCTCGGACTGCCTGTGGTAAGTATTACATGTAGCTTCGCCAAGAAGGTTATGTTCTCAGTAGCGTTTGTCCGTTTGTTTGTTTGTGAACAGCGTAACTCCAAAAGGTTGATGACAATAAGCATTGAAACTTGGTAGGTGGGTAGGTTTTTCAAAGACCTAGAAATGATTATATTTTGGACCCCCTGGTGGCTTTCGTTGGTACTGCAGCAGATAGAACTTCCGGTTTTGATACCTCATGATCTGGACATGCTAGTGTTTCTTCCTTACGTACCCTTTACAAATAGTTTGGTTGGAGATAGCTGAAGAGCCTAATCTTAGGTAAATATGTACTGGCATCATCCGAAGTAAACATACAAGAAATGCGATGACAAAGACTGATTGTTGGTTGGATGTCTAACTTTGCAAAAATGCAAAATTATCAACTAAAAAAATAAAGGGGACCAATGAAATCTTTGAATTCGTCGTTATGTGTGAGCATCTCATTTTTTGACAATGTGAGATGAGGTGGCTCCAACACTGTTTGTTTATCTTGCTGACAGTAATACCTATCACTTGTTTTCCCCAGTGTGAGATGCGCCCCCATCTTGGCTGGCCCTGTGACGCCACTCTGCAGACGAGCTGTGAGTGTGTGCAGATGACCGTCTGTTACAAGGGAGTCTGCGTACTGGAGACAGAAGTGCCGGAGGGATCTGGAGTGGAGGGGCTCTAAACTGGCAAACTCACGCACAAATGCGCCTACACAGACCTGGTTTTAGATTAAATGCATTGAATCTGTACTTTGCAGCTGTTGTCATTGTACTATCACATACATATTGACTAGCCTGGGTGCCATTCTCCGTATAGTGTTCGCCCGCTCCCTAATGTAGCTGGCTACTCCGTGGTAGAAAGCTACGGAGGATGGCACCCAGGCTACATACTGACCACGAATATAAGGCAGGGGATATCGTAGATGATATTGCATTGAATCTGTACTTTGCAGTTGTAATTATTACTATCACAGAGTGGAACTTTCATTCACATACATACAGTTTACTGACTAGTGATGACTGCGTGGTCAGATATTTGTTCACCCTTGATTTAAACCGTTGGAGGTTGTAATTAGCGGTGAAACATTCACGGGGAAGCTTGTTCCACAGTGAAGTGGTTCTGGGGAAGAAACTGTCAGCATGAAATTTTCTCTTGACTGATGGACTATTGAGGAAGAAAGGGTGATTTTCTGCTAAGCGTGGCTAAGCGTGTTCTTGCAGAGAATGTTCTGAGTGGGGGTACAAGGGAGTGAAGTTCAGCAGAGCATCTGCCGTGGAAATTGCATTGAATCTGTACTTTGTAGTTGTCATTATTATATCGTCATATAGCCAGAAGACGTCGACCAATCAGAAGGCTCCATTTCAAAATCAAATAATTTGCTCTCAATCCAACTGATGTCTCAAAGCAAGTTATACAGATCCTTGCGACCAGCACAAGATGCGATTATGATAGTTTTGTTAAAAAAATCGGTACCCTTTACTGCAACGCCACCTATCCGTCCCAGCAGGCATTGCAGCAACTTCTAACCAATCAGCGCGAAGAACAAACAGCGTGTTGCCATGTTGACGTCCTGGCGAACTGTTCACATACATAATGTCATCGTCTAAACATCTGGTGATTGAGAACTGTGAATTCGTATACGCATGTCTCAAGAGGAGAGAAGAAACTAGTAAGCGCTATTGTAAGCTCTAGAGTTAGATGAA